GTCTCCAGGGCAAGGGCCCCCAAAGGCTCCAAAGCTACCCAGGAAAACCCTGTCCCGAAAAACCAAAAAAAAAAAGGTATGTGTCATTATATTTGGCCCTTTTGTTTTATTGTGATGGTTGTGCATGTGTAATGTGTGTGCTCAATGTGCCACAGAGTATGAAGGTTGGTTCTCTCTGCCGTGAGATCAGGGATTAAACTCAGGTTGTTCTGTAAGAGCTTTATCCCGTGAGCTGTCTAGCCAGCATTAGACCAAAGGGAAAAAATTTTCTTTGCTAATTATCTGTATTAGCAAAGGTGTTTTATCTGGGATCCCTTGGGATTGGGATTAATGGTAGTTGTGAACTACCATATGGATGCTGGGAATTGAATACAGGCTCTCTGCAAGAGGAGCCAGTGCTCTTAACCTCTCTTCAGCTCCCCTAGATGTAAATTTGATACACTTATGTGTACTCTATCAGTTACAATGCAGAAGCGTGACATCAGTTGTATATTGCAAACACCTCAGTGCCACGTTGGACAAAAGTCTTGTCTGAAGCTCCCATAGGGTGGTTGAATTAACAATCTCAGACATCAAAGGAACATTTGAAATTTTCCACTTAGAGTTATAATACTTCCTTTGACCTTGTACTCATTTCACAATGTTGAAATGCACAGGGAATCCAATTAATTTATGACATGCAAAAATAAGACAGTGCAGTATACTACCACAACACTAGGCACTTGGGCTGAGCAAGAGGATTGTCACAAGTTCAATGCTAGCAAAAATCTCTCTTAAAAAGTCAGGATCGTACATTCCAGGGCAGGCCACATGCCCAGAAGTTGGCTAACACAAAATAGCTCTGCTATTTTTTTAATCTTACTAGTTTTTTGTTTGCTGGGGGGGGGGACATTTATTTATTTATTTGTTTGTTTGTTTGTTTTGAGAGAGCATAAAATTGGGTGGGTAGGGAGCTGGAGAGGATCTGGGAGGAGAAAGCATCATCAAGATGTGTGTTTTAAAAAAGTATTTAATCCAAAACAAAACTAGGGCCACCAAGCAGTAGGTAAAGGTGCCTGCTGCCAGTCCTGATGACCTGAATTCATTTCTCAGACCCATGATAGGAGACAACAGACTTTCCCCGAAAGATAACCATTCGTACCAATGTGTCCACACATACACAAAATAAGTAAAAATGTAATAAAAAATTGAAAACCTAAAATAAAAGAGTATAATTTAAAAATTTTATAAGCTGGGTGTTGGTGGTACACGTCTTTAATCCCAGCACATTTGGGGCGGGGCAGGCAGATCTCTGTGAGTTCGAGGCCAGCCTGGTCTACAGAGTGAGTTCCAGGACAACCTCCAAAACAATACAGAGAAACCCTTTCTTGAAAAGCCAAAAAAAAAAAAAAAACAATTACAATTTAGTGGGTTTTTTTATTTTTTTGAGGCAGTGTTTGTGGTAATATTTTGTTTATGATCTAACAAAGCTTGCCTGAAGATCAGAGTGCAAAGCTAGCCACAGTAGTTAGCCATAGACGTCAGGCAGTAGTGGTATACACCTTTAATCCCAGCACTCAGGAGACAGAGGCAGACAGTTTTCTGTTAGTTCAAGGCCACCCTTGAGCTACACAAAAGTACTCCCAGCACTAAGGAGATGGAGACAGGAAGGGATATGGCTGGGCAGAGAGGAATATAAGGCAGAAGGAGACAGGAGCTCAGGGCAGTCTGAGCAGCAGTCAGTCTGAGGATTCAGTAGAGGTAAAAACTAGTGGCTGGCTGCTTTGCTTCTCTGTCTTTCAGCTTTCACCTCCTAATACCTGACTCCAAGTTGTTTTTCTTCCCCCGAGTTTCTCTGTAACTTTGTAGACCAGGCTAGCTGGAACTTAACAGAGATCTACCTACCTGCTGAGTGCTGGGATTAAAGGCGAGCGCCACAGCCACCACCACCTGGCTTCTGACTTTGGCTTTTTATTTATTATCAAGACCAATTAGAACTCCTGCTACAGTAGTTTTCTACTTAGCTCTGGCCTGCCTGAAATTCAGAGATCTACTTCTGCCTCCAGAGTGCTGGAATTTAAGCCAAGCACCAGCACACCTTTTCTTGTTTTGGGTTTTTTTGTTTGTTTTTCCAGACAGGGTTTCTCTATGTAGCCCTGACTGTCCTAGAACTCACTCTGTAGACCAGACTGGCCTCAAACTCACAAAGATCCACCTACCTCTGCCTCCTGAGTGCTGGGATTAGAGGTGTGCATCACCACTGACTGGCCCCTTTTGTTTTAATGTCTTAATTATTTGGATGTACTCCCTAGGCTATACCGTGAACAGTTAAGGGGAAGGTTTATTTTATTGGGTTGGAATATTGCCGTTGGTTGCATAAGCATTTCCAGCAGGAATTCTACCTTCATGTGTGTGTCCCTACAGTCAAATGCAAGGATGATCTTTGTCCCTGGAGATTTGGGGCCTACTAGCTCTTTCTGTGCCACTCTGCTTTCTTATGAGTAGGCTTGTTTTATGCACTAAACCAGTGGTTCTCAAACTGTAGGTCAAACAATCCCTTCACAGGGGTCATATATCAGATATCCTGCTTATTAATACTTACACATTAAAATTCATAACAGCAAAATTACAGTAGCAATGAAAATTTTATGGTTGGTGGTCACAACAACATGAGGAACTGCATTAAAGGGTAGAAGAATTAGGAAGAATGAGGACCACTGTACTAAAGTGGGTTTTTTGTTTTAAAGTTAGTGGTCTATGTGATGGTGGTGGGGCCTCACTTCTTTAATCCCAGCACTTGGGAGGCAGGGGCAGGTAGATCTCTTGAGTTTGAGCCCAGCCTGGTAAACAGTTCCAGGACAGCCAGAACTAAGCAGAGAAACCCTGTCTGGGGGGAGAAAAATGAAACAAAAATAAAAGAGCTATATTCTCTTTGGGTAAAACTCTGAAGAATAGAGGATGAACTAAATTGAAGAATTAACAAATACAGGATTTACTTCTTAGATAAGATGACTAGTTTGCCATTTTATTTTTTTAAACCACTTTGGTTGCCTTTCAGAACATCATAGGAAGTTTCACACTTGAGGGTGGAGGCAGTCACAGGCGCTGCTAAGCAAACTGTCTGCTGAGCACGCCTAGTTCCTGTCCTCTTTAAAGGTCTAGTTCTCACCTAGATGTGCAGTGTTTTGTACAGTATTTGAAGACCAGAGTATCCTGGGTACTGTTCTCAGGAAGTACATGGAACTTTTCTTTTGTCTGCTAATGTGTATATTATTATATCATTTTGCTGTATACATACCAAGAGCTTGAGGGCTCAGCCTAGAGCCCTATTAAAGGCACCCTTTACCCAGGAAAGAAAACTGTTGATCTTTAGGTTATGCAAGAGATTTATTCATTTATTTAATAATTTAAAAGGTACCAAAGGTTATAAGGTGAAATGTCTTCTCTCCACTGACCTGGAAACGCCGTGTTGCTCATTTGTTATACCTTATGCCACTATCCGCTCTGTGTGCATGGTTGATATCTTTTGATTTTCCTTGTAATATGCAGGTATCTTTGGAAATTTCACTGTAGTGTAAGTATAAAATTGTGACAGCTTTCATTGTTTACAAAATGTTCAGCAAAGCCATAAAAATAAACTCTGTAAAGTCTATAAAGAATTTGTGGGATCAGAGCAGTGTATGCTGCAGCTTTTAGACAACAAAAGCCCTGTCTGTGTCATTCCCTGTGTCTTGTATTTTACAATGTCTGGACACAGAGGTGACCTGTGATAATAAATAAGCTAGTCATACATAGAAGGACTGTTGGGTGACATTATATGCATCTTGTTCTTTCCTTCCATTGTGGGAACCCCAGGGATCAAACTCAGGTCTTCAGTTTTGGCTTCAAGTGCATTTGCCAACTGAACCATCTCACAGACCCACCTGTGATTTTTCACTTAATTTTTAAGGTGTGTTGTAACTGGGGGAGGGGGCAACTTTGTGGAATTGATTCTTTCATCTTTTCATAGGTTCTGAGAACTGAACTTAGGTTTCTAGGCTTGCATGACAGGCTTTAAGGACCTGTCTTCCCAGCCTTGTTTTTTTCCTACTAAAACTGGCATGTGTTTAGATCTTGTGCTACAAGAATACTGTTTCCATTTATCTTTAACTCAGGTCTATTTTCTTATTTCTTGCCACTTGAAAGTTAAAATACCATTTCTACTGTTTTGTATTTGTGTTGAGAAGTAACTGATCATCTTTTTAGAACCATTTGTTTCACACTGACTGTTCCTCCAAAGGTCCTGACTTCAATTCCCAGCAACCATATGGTGGCTCACAACCACCTTGAATGAGATCCAGTGCCCTCTGCTGGCATTCAGGCAGAAGACTGTATAGACTGTATATGTAATAAAAATAAATAAAATCTTAAAAAAAAAAAAAAGAACCATTTGTTTCATATTAATATTGTTGCTTTTCTTAGATCCCCATGGTTATGTAGTCAGTGTATTGCTAAATGTTCAAAGTAAAAGCTTGGAAGCCTGTGTGCATGCATGATTGTCTTTTAGTATCATGTGTGTTTAGGTTTTCCTAAAACATCATTACCTTCCTATATATTTCAAATCTATTCAGAATGTGTGTGCTCCAATGTGCCTGTGCTCCTCAGATTCACATATAGCTGAGGATGACCTTGAAGTCTCGAGCTTCTGTTTGTGATTACCCATGTATATGTACCATAGGTAGCCAGCCAATCGTAGAGAGCCCACCAGGGCTGTGTTCTGCTAAGTAAGCACTCTGCTAATTAAGCACTCTACTGAGCCCTTGCCCCCATCTAGCAGGCTTTAAATGTAATCTACATCATATTGTGCATTGGTGGTATTCTACCCTTAATCTGTTCACTTTGCTCAAAAATAGAAAGGTATTCTTTTGCATTATATGCAAGATAATTTGTTTTTAAAAATTGTTTGATTTGGAAACAATTTCATCTTTATGTAACTGCAAAAGTTGCTTATGCTAGCTGCCTCTTTTTTTTAAACCTGTTAGTTGGTGACAAAGTTCCTGCTGATATAAGATTAACTTCCATCAAGTCTACAACTCTAAGAGTTGACCAGTCAATTCTCACAGGTAAGTAGTACATATTGGAAAAATCATTCAAGCTTTGAAGCCTCTTATCTCCCAGGTGTATGTAGTCAGTGCCCACTGCCCTTTTATGGCATCCTACCCTAACCCTCTCTAAGATACTTAATTTGTTAGAGAAGTTTTAAAATTAGTTTTGGGTTTGAACAATGATTTAACAGTTAAGAGCACTTGCTCTTCTTACAGTGTACCTAGGTTCGATCCCCTACACCCACATGGTGGCATGCAGCAGCTGTCTATAACTCCATTTCCACGGGATCCAACACTGTCTTCTGATCTCCATACACATGGTGTGCAGACATACAATCAGATCAGACATGTATTCAAAATAATTTTTAGTTTTTCGAGACAGGGTTTCTCTGTAGCTTTGAAGCCTATTCTGGAGCTAACTCATAGACGAGGCTGGTCTCGAATTCACAGCGATATGCCTCTGCCTTTGCCTCCTGAGTGCTGGGATTAAATTCATGCACCACCTCTGCCTAGCTCAAAACAAAAAGTTTTTAATTTTGATTATGAAATATTTTTAGGGAGAAAAATGACTGTGGAGTCCTTTGCTAGCATACATTTTTGCTACAATCATTTTCTCCCTAAAAATAATCTTCAGGTTAAGGTACTATCTCCCTATCCATCGAATAAATAATTATGGAGTTACCAAAAGTTAGCTAGAGTGACATGCTACCTGGAGTTTGTACTCATGGATTTGGCATTGTTTGGAACATTTCCTGAGTATGTGTGATGCAAGCACAACCAAGGAGGAATGTTGGTCTGGAAGCAAGGTTGTCAGGTTCAAAACAGTGCTGGCCAGCACCATGCTCACTTGGGTAAAAGAACAGCTGCATTAGGTTCTCAGGACTGTCTTTCTGTCTCTGTCTGTATCCCCCCTCCACACACACACACACAATTATATAGCAAGTGAATAGAAATTAACGTTAAAATTTCCTTTAGCAGCGTCAGCCTCAAGCCACAAAATGTTAGGGAAATGACTGGGTTATATATCTGAAATCCTAAGGGTATGTTTAGAATAGACAAGAGAACTGAGTTATCAGAGTATGAAGGGTCCCGTGTCCTGTCCCTGTGTCGTCCCCCCTCTATTTATTTTCCTCTTAGCTTTTTGAAGCAGGGCATGTCTCCTGGAGCCTAGGGTGTCCTCAAACTCAGTATATAGTTGAGAATAATGTTGAACTGTTCTTTCTATGCCTATACTTCCCAACTGCTGGGCTCACAAGCATGTGCCACCACACCCAGTTTTGTATGCTGCAGGATATTGAACCCAAATTTTTGCATGCTAAGCAAGCTCTCAGCTGAGCTACATTCCCAGCCCAATTGAATGTCCTTATACAAAGGTCAAAGGAGAAAACATATCCTTTGTCAACCAATTATTTGACTATTTTAGGAAATGGAGGTAATTGACTGGGTGTTATTTCAAAATTAATCATTTGTTTTTTCAAGGCAAGCTTTCTCTGTGTAGCCTTGGCTGTCCTAGAACTTGTAGATCAGGTTGGCTTGGAACTAAGATTCACTGCCTCTGCCCACCTCCTACCCCCTTTATGTACATTCTTTTTATTTGTTTATTTTTTGTTTTGTTTTTTCGAGTCAGGGTTTCTCTGTGGCTTTGGAGGCTGCCTTGGAACTGGAACTAGGCTGGTCTCGAACTCACAGAGATCCGCTTGCCTCTGCCTCCCAAGTGCCGGGACTATAAGCATGCACCACCAATCCCCAGAAAAATTCACATTCTTTACTCTGACATTAATTTCCATTGCTAAATTTTCCTAGTTTGCCTGCTTTGTAGATTGAGCCCTTTGCTCCTTTTCCTATATTGGCAATGAATATGTACTTTTAGTGTTTGGGTTTGAGTCTGGGTCTCCTTGTATTGCTCATCCCTCAAACTGGATATGTGGCTGTATGGTGGCCTTGAATTTGGAAGTCATCCCCCTGCCGTAACTTCCTGTGTGTTGGGATTATAGGTGTGTGCCACCATAACTGCCCACATTGGCAGTGGTAAAAAGTGGGAATGGGTTGGTGTGGGTGAGGGTTACCAAAATTGGGTATGCCTCAAACTGAGCTAACCGTCGTGTCTCATACCTGCTTAGGTGAATCTGTTTCTGTCATCAAGCACACTGACCCTGTCCCTGACCCACGAGCTGTCAATCAAGATAAAAAGAACATGCTCTTTTCTGTGAGTTTTATCAGATGTTGGGGGTGGGGTTGCTGGGAGTTGAACCCAGAGTCTCACACATGCTAGGCCGTAGCTTGTCTAAACTTTTACCAAGCTTTACCTTTATCTAAGAACATTCTTTTATTTGTAGATAGTCCTTGTCTCAGTTAGGGTTTCTATTGCTGCGAAAAGAGAAGACCAACACAATTCTTAACAGGAAAACATTGAATTGGGGCTGGCTTAGAGTTCAGAGGGTCAGTCCATTGTCATCATGGAGGGAAGCGTGGTGGCATGCAGACAGACATGGTGCTGGAGGAGCTGAGAGTGCTACATCTGGATCCACAGGCAGCAAGAAGAGACAGTGAGCTACTAGCCTGGCTTGAGTTTCTGAAACCTCAAAGCTACACCTCCAATAATTGCTACTCCCTGGATCCATGGGGGACATTTTCAAACCACCACAGCTTTGCTGGCCACCTTCAAGTGGTCAGATTTCATACAATACTTGATTGTGATCAGATTTCATATAATACTTGGTTGTTCCAAAAGATAATTATTCTTTACTGTGTGTCTCAGCTGTCAAAAAAACTAACACAGTTGGGGATGAAACAGTGAGCTTAATGTGCTGAAGGTTCTATCTGGTTCAGTCTTTAGCAATAAAGCAAATAGACAAAACTAGAAGTCATGTTGTAAAATGATAGCATGGTTTTTGTTTTGGTTGCCAGCTAATGAAATGACTAGAGAGAAATGTTTAAACTCAGTATCTAACCGTCGAAGTAACCTTTTCAGAAAAGTCTTCAAGCCTATAAAGGGTGCTTTTCAAATGATGTGGGCATTGCTGTTTATGGCCTATGATTTTTAAAAAAAGTATGTTTGGAAAGAGCAAACATGGCACACCATTTGGTGAGCCTAGGTGAAAACTACAAGGTTGTTTATGTTTTCTGTTGGTATGAAGTAGTGCATATATTTTTATTATTTTAGAATCTAGATTAGTATTTCAAGGGATGGGCTTTGCTGGTTATTAGGAGAGCATGTAACTGCTGACAGCAAGAAAAGTGCAGGTGCTGTAGTGAGAAGAATGCAGCTCTATCATTCTAGCACTCACTCACTCACACTCATTCCACTGGCCTCAAGACTGGTGCTGGGGTAGACATTCTGAAGCAACCCACAGGGCTGATTGTCCATCTTACAGATGACAAAGGTAGGAGAGGTCAACTGTTGGAGCCAGAAACTAAGATCTAAGAGTACATAATGCTGAGAGCTGCATGAAATTTGAGATTATAGTAGTGGAGGTACTGCTAAGCCAAGAGCAGATCTGTAGCCCAGGTTCCATGTTACAGAGAGCTGTCCTGTCCCATTGGGTGAATAGGTACTATGGAATCCAGTCAGTATACTGGTCAGTATTTAAGTTGGTATTAATCTTATGGCCAGTTTTCCTCTGCTTCTCCCTAGGGTACAAACATTGCTGCTGGGAAAGCTATGGGAGTGGTGGTGGCAACTGGAGTTAATACTGAAATTGGCAAGATCCGAGATGAAATGGTTGCAACAGAACAAGAGAGAACACCCCTACAGCAGAAGCTAGATGAGTTTGGGGAGCAGCTTTCCAAAGTTATCTCCCTCATTTGCATTGCAGTCTGGATCATAAACATTGGGCATTTCAATGACCCAGTTCATGGGGGCTCCTGGATCAGAGGTGCCATCTACTACTTTAAGATTGCAGTGGCCCTGGCTGTTGCTGCCATCCCAGAGGGTCTGCCTGCTGTCATCACCACCTGCTTGGCTCTTGGAACTCGTAGGATGGCAAAGAAAAATGCTATCGTTCGGAGTTTGCCTTCTGTGGAAACCCTTGGTTGTACTTCTGTTATCTGCTCAGACAAGACAGGCACACTCACCACAAACCAGATGTCAGTCTGCAGGGTAAGTAAGGAGTGTCCTTGGACTCTTCGTTAGACTGGTTTATGCCATCAAAACCTTTGGTTGATAATTTGCTAAGAGTTTTGTGAGGCCTAAGCCAAGTGTGACTAGCTGAGAGAAATTTTTTTTAAGATTTTATTTATTTATTATGTATACAACATTCTGCTTCCATGTATATCTGCACACCAGAAGAGGAGACCAGATCTCATAACGGATGGTTGTGAGCCATCATGTGGTTGCTGGGAATTGAACTCAGGACCTCTGGAATAGCAGTTAGTGCTCTTAATCTCTGAGCCATCTCTCCAGCACTACCTGAGAGAAATTGATCATTCCCAGCTACCAAACTGGGACTGGCAAGAGACTCAGTGGCTACAAACCCTTGATGCCAAGTCTGAGTGCAGTCTGGGAGTGATCCCACTTGTTGGAAGGAGAAAACTGAATCCTAAAGTTGTCCTCTGAATTCTGAATGCACTTAAAAATTAATTTCTAAATTGTTTTGGGAAATACAAGGTAGCTATGCATCTTACAAATTTCTATGAAATACATAACTATAGGCCTGATCCTCTGTCTCTAGATGTGTTCCAGAGGAAATAACTAGTTGTCCTGCTGAATTCCTGATTATTACTTTCCATAGCACACTAAATGAAACATGATTTCTCTCTGAAAAGCAAATACTTGCTTTATAACTTGGCGTATTTGATCAGGTTAGCCCCGTCCTTCTTACCTTGTTTGAAGTAAAATAAGCCTTTAAAAGTGTTCCTACAACAGTAAGAACTGAGACTAGGCTCAGTGACCCATAGCATAGTCCCAGCTCCTGTAGATAGAGGCAGCAAGAGCAGGATGTCAAGATTATCCTTGGCTATACAGTGAGTTTAAGGCTAGCTTGGGCTGAGAACTAAAAAGAAAGATGCGGGGGGGGGGGGGGGGCCCCG